CACTACCACTACCACTACCACTACCACTACCACTACGACCACTACGACCACTACGACCACTACGACCACTACGACTACTACTACTACTACTACTACTACTACTACTACTACTACTACTACTACTACTCCTAGTCCTTCTCCTACTCCTGCTGCTGCTGCTGCTGCTGCTGCTGCTACTACTGCTACTAACAATAATCGTTACGAAGAACAACCATAATTAGAACGAAATCACAATAATACTACTAATTTCCAGTGCTAGTGCTAGTACTAGGCTGGTACTAGCGCTAGTGCTGGTGCCGCTGCCGCTCCACATGGCATCTGGATTTGAGCGGTGCTCTCGTATGCCGAGCCGCAGCAACCCAACACCTCGTCGAGAAGTGCAGATATCTGGGCCGAAGCACAATATTCTATTAGCCGCTGAATAACTCTGCAGCCATAACCTGTGCAGTTGCAAGGTGTCGTGGAGCCGACACTGGAAGGAGGACTAAGCCAAGTAGCAGTGTTTGGCCATTCGAGAAGCCTGACCTTACTCACCATATGCCGTCGCCGTCGTCTCTCTGGTGCTGCTGACGGCTCGGGTCACTCGAGTCTCTGAGTGCCATGCCTGCAAAAGAATCGACGATGAAGCCGATCCGGTCGGTCGGAAGGCGTTCAATGCCTCATCGGCAGAGCCGGAAGCTGGTAAAGAACTGAGATGAACAAAAGACACACGCAAAAACAAAAAAAAAAACAAGAAACCACACTTTGCGTGAAACGATTCGTGCACCGAGCATCATTTTTGGATGACGTGGTTGCCATGCTGATCCTCAATACATTTGATGACCTGGGCTGTGGGAGAGGCTCGGTCTCCGGCAAGTGTCCTACAAAACCGGCAGGAATGCTCCAGTGCGATTGCGTGGCGTGACCTTTCAGCTCGCCAATCAAAAGCACCTGCTGTTCGATGGGAACCGAATCCAGTGCCTGCCAAGACAGGTCAAGCAGCCCTGAGTGGCTTCCTCTCGGACTCGAAGGCTTAGCTCAGGGCCTTCTGCACGACCCGGCACCTGCACTCCATGCACTGGCGACTTTGCAGCCCCCTCTTCAATCCAGCCAAGTCACCCATACATCTGGAGCGAAAGCTTCAAGACTTGTCCCACCAGCTGCTCCGCGAGGATACGCCTCTGCTCAGAGTTTCCATACCTCAAACATCGAGGCATTGGACATCTAGAAGATAAGCTCATCAAAGAACTCATCCGCAAACCTCACAGATTGTAACGCTGTGGACGCAGCAGCCGAAGCACTCAAAGAATTTCTGTATCACGTAATTTCCGAAAACATCGGTCGTCAGCTGCGACATCCTCATTCAAACGCGATCAGCAACAAACTCAACGCGACCTCAGACTCTGCAATCTTCATGCTGACAAGCATCTTTTGAAGCACCTGCTTGAATGCAATTTGCTTCTGCTCGTCGCTCGCCACCTCGAGCTTTTGCTGTATCAACCTCGCAGAACACGGGACTCGAACACGATGTGCTACAAGAGGTTAGCGTAGGGCCAAGAAATCTCAGGAGGCAGCCTGGAGCCATACTGATCCTGGGCTATCTCGCTGATATGTCCAGAAAGTTCCGCGAGATCAACCAGCCGCTCTCGTGCCTCGCTCTGAAACATCACATGGCACTTCGAGGCATTTCCGACTGCTGTTGACTGCCGTGCTGCTTTTAAGTGCTCGATGAGCGGGCTGGTGGCCTGTGGCCGCAGCTTGTTGGCCATAGCGTCCCCAGCCTGCCGACTGCAGCATGGAGAGACTACGATGACTACACCTCTTCGACGCGCACGAGCCTACAGGGCAAGTTGCCTTGCCTCGACTTGCCCAGCACTTCGTCTCCGTCTGTCACCCTTTCCACCTGGACGCAGCAAGAATGCAATAAGAAGTGCGGGACTTCCAATGCGGAGCTGCAGAGAGCCGGCCTCCTTTGTCTGATGCCCTGTTCAAACTAGCTGACCCTGGGGCGATGGCACCCGGTTCATGCTGCTGGGGCTGAGGAGCATGCTTGGGTTCTTTGTCTCTCCGTGCTTTCGTCTTCTTGCTGTCGACGGCTTGTGGTCGTGGCGGCTGGGGTCCAGGGGGTAAGGCCTGGCTAGGGCTAAGCACGTTCTCCTTGGACTCCCTTTCTGGCCGCTCCGGCTTTCGCGGCGCCGGTGGAGGCGGTGCCGATGGAGGGGCCGAAGTTGGAAGTCCGGAAGGTGTGCTTGCGGTGAGGGGGGAAATGGCAGGGAAGTTGTTGGCACAGGGTCCAGGTGCTGTGAGTTGTTGCTGTGGCTGAGGTGGCTGCTGCGGCTGCACGGGCTGTGGCTGCTGCGGCTGGCTCACCTTGGCCAAATTCGATCCAAGCACTTTTGCGCCAACCCTGTTACCGCACGAGGGATCTCGAAGCATGCCTCACAAGCTCCGGCACCTGAAGGCCACTAGCTTGCTTGTGCGCGGGTCAAGGGACTGCGTTGACTGCTGGTGAGAACAAGCTTTCGTTGTTTTCAGCTGCCCTAACTTCCCAAAGGACAAGAAAACCCACATCCCAGTTTCATCCCGTGGTGGGGCTTCCATGCTCGTGCAACCGGTTACGGCCCCTGCTTCGCTGTTTGCGAAACGTACGTACGGTTTCACCGTGCTTGCAGACTCCGAGACTGCTGGGACTTGACTACAGAACCCACAAGGTTCGCCTATATAGACTCCTACACACCTTCGAGCACAGTGCCCTCTGCTGTTCACACCACACATAGCTCTGGGGCAGGGACCTGTGGTGGTGGCTTGATGACACCTGCTGAGGCAGACGCGGTTCACGGAGCGGGCCAGCATCACACACCGACTGGTTATGTGCTTGGTTCTTCACAGTGAGGCCGTTAGACCGTGGTTTTCGAACTCAGAATGGCCGCAACACCAAACGCACATCCTTGCAAACGAGCCTCCAGGCTGGGTGGCCTGCTGCTGCTGCTGCTGCTGCTGCTGTTGCTGCGCCATCATCATCATGGACAGCACGTTGGCATCAACAGGCACTTGTGCGCCAGACTTGCTGGAGATTTCTGTCGTTCTTGCCGCTGCTGCAGGTTGCCCGGGTGCAGCTGGGCTGACGAGCATGTTGTAGTAAGGTGGGGGCTGGTTCAAGCCCTGCCACAGAGTCTGCATCGGAGCATAGGACGAGAATCCGCTAGAGGATCCTCCTGGAGGGCCTCCAGGGGGCCCTCCTGCTCCTGGTGCTGCAGGTGCACTGTCTATGCGCTGCGGGGTGCCAAGAGGTGCGGGCGCAGCCGGCGCACTCTTGGCTGGAGGGAGTCCGATTCCATCAGGCTCTCCAAAACTATTGATGACGCCTCCGCCATACTGATAAACAGGCGAAGGTGTTCTTGTGGGAGTTCTGTGGGGAGCTTCGGACTCGATCCTTTGGTATGGAGCCCTGCCTCTGCTTTCATCTAAGCCTCCCAAACCGCTTGTAAAAAACGGCGGGCAAGGCTCCAGCAGAGGGTTCCTGAGTGGATCTGAGAGCCCTGGCCCTGGTCTGCTGGGCGCATGCGCATCTTCTTCAAGAAGGATGCTGCTCGCCAACTCGCCCTCGTAAGAACCATCGGAGGGAAGCTGCATGTGCCGCTTCCCTGCACTCAACTTCTGTCTCACCAAATGCCTGCACGGCCATGCCCTTACACTGCTTCTGTGGAGCCGTAAGCTGCAGAGCGAGAAGCATATGCAGAGGCGTCTGCAAGGAAGTACGGGTGCCCAAAATCAAAAAACGGTTCAACAGCGGTCAGACTCCTTGACTTTTTGTGAATTAATTACCGCATGGCTTTCAGACTTGAATGCCGGAGTGAGACTTTGGGTGGGGAGCGCAGTGAAACACCGGCCTGCAGTGTGAGAAAAACGCGCTGTACTTCATGTGTGCTAGTAGCGGTATCTGCTGTATCGTAGCAGCCGAGGAGGTCGTGGGACCACTTTTGTCCGGAACCTCTAGCGCTCATGCCTGTGAGACTGAGTGAACGTGGCGCACCTCGTGCTTGCTGTTGGCATGGCAGACTGAAAGCGTTTAGGCTAAGCTTAAGGAAATGGACAGTCTGTTCTACACTGCAAACCGCGACGTGCTGAAATTCGGCGAAGATGTGAGCTCTGCTCCACCACAGGGCCAGGCGAGCAAGCCAAGCGGCTAAGCTTCGTGAAAATCTAAATTGTCGTCCTCTTCATCGTAGCTGCCGGTGCCTCTACAGATGAAGTCAATGCTGAGTCCACTCTCAACCTGAACTCGAAACCTGCATTTATAGAGCTCGTTCTTCTTGGGTCTAAAGGAGATTTTCAGTCGCTGTGGATCGAAGCGCTCTTCGTCCGGAAATGCTGGTGCTCTGGGAAGTGCGGAGCTCTTGGCACACCAGTGAGGCAAGCGTTCTTCCGAACCAGGCACCAAGCCGTCTTTGGATGGGCCAGGAAGTTCACCACCACTGACATCAAACTCAAAAGCATCCTTGTCGTCCAACGCACGAAATTCTTCCTCTTCCGGCAAAGTAGCACCGATCACCGGTGCAGCCTTTCGTTTGCGGCCAACATGTACCAAAGACCATTTGGCCAGGGTGTTTGTGATGTTCGAGATAAGGATACATCGGAATCTGGTCGCAGAGCTCTGCACATGCGTGTAGCCAAATTCCACGACCACAGGGACTGGCTCAGACCAAGGCGGTCTCTCGGCCCGCTCGAGCCGTATCGGGCGATCGAACTCGTTCGGCACAACGTGCACTCGGACGGCTGGCCGCCTGGCAGTACCGACCAGGTGGATCCTCTGGAGATCGTCCTTTGACTGCTAGGGGCGCTGCGCTCTGCTGGAGCAGGGTTTGACAGGGGGATCTAGACATTCGATCATAACTTATAACTTAATTTGTCGTGACATGGTGGCGACAGAAATATGTGGAATAAGGAAGGCACACGGTAAACCGACTTCCACGCAGGGCCGTCCTTGTGCGTGTCGAGCTCACCGTCCGTATCCCGAGGGTACTCCACAATCAAATCGCCCCTGAAGACATGCTCGTGCTTGGTCAAGTAGTGCTCCCACTCAGACACTGGAATCTGCTCAGGGGTGAACATCACATGCAGTGTCACCGTCTCCCATCTCGACAGCACGAAAAGCTTTCGAATGTCCGATTGCTGCTCGTCCTTCTTGGCCTTACCGCTGGAGCTGTCATTCAGCACTGGATGTGCGCCGCCCTGTTGTATGAGCTGAATCCTGAATGGGCCTTCAACCCGAAACTTGCAGGTGATCTTTGCGGCGTTGTGGTTGGAGAAGCTGATTTGGCGGACCAGGCATGAAGAAATGCCCGTAACCTGAGTGCCGCCGACTGCACCTCCATGCGAGGGGCCCGTCGATGGCTGAGACCCCTGAGACACCGAGGACCAAGTGAACTTAAACACCGGCGCATTGAGAACGGGAGGCTCCCGATCATCTCCGATGTCATCTTGCTCCTTGTTTTGTGCCGGGAACTCCTCCACTGCGGGGTTTCCCTTCTTGTCCACTGTCAACCTGGGCAAAACACAATCCCCCACACAGTCGATCACAATCGTGGCGAGCACATCCAGATTTGGCTCCTGCAGACAAAGAGCAACCTTCTATTGGCTTTGTAGGGTCTTGGACATGCAGACGACAAAGGGATGCTGATGTATGGTGGCCATGCGCAGTGCAGTCAAGGTGGGGGAACATTCGGCATAATTAAGCGTATCGCTGGTCTGTCGGGAACTTCCCTGGAAGGGGCCGGGAGGGGGAGGAACTTTGACAACAAGCTCCACGGCCAAAGGCTGTGGAGGTGGCGGCCCTGCACGATTGCGCTTGAAGCGCTTCGTCGTCGCCACCTCGAGCGGCGCTGGCACCTCCGTGGAAGAGCCGGTGCTCCAAGCTGACCCCACTTAGCTAGAGGCAAGCAGGCCTCCACGAGAGGCTCCTGGAGCAGCGACTTGGGATCCACTTCGATGTCCGAGTCGTCATCCACGACCTCCCGTCCGTCCAGCTGGATGTCTGGCAGGTTCTCCACTTCAGCATCCTGGCTGAGGGTCACCTGGGGCTTTGCAGCTTTTTGCCGCTTGGCACCTAGGCATTCCAGCCCACTGCCTTAGCCAAGTTGCATAAGCTGTTTGGGGTGGCCGCTCGTCATACTCCTCGTCTGGATTGGCTTCAGCGAAGGCCAAGCGTTGCTCGCGATCAGCTGTGAAGCGGCCTAGCAATCGGCTCGTGCTGGCTTATGCTGCGAGGTCTAGGCGTGGCAAACGGCGTCAGTGGCTCTCCCAGGCATGGTCTCAAGACTCGCCTAGTTTAACGTATGTCAGGAGACACGCTGTCGCCTCAGGATCATGAAACACAGTCCAAGTTGCAGTCTCCTATCAGAGTGTACCGGTAGTTGCTTGCCGCTGTCAGGGTCGCTTTCAAGCACGTCATGGTCACGGTGAAGCTGGCAGTTCCGTGCTCTGGCACCTGTCCAATATCAACATTCACCGTGCGAAGAAATGCGTGAGCAAAACTACTTGCAAGCACGGCACCACCGCTTCTACCGGCTCGATAACCACTGGCAGTTCATCTCCCGGTAGAGAGAACGGATCTTGAATTTGCGGAGGTTGCTGCGACCAAATTTTGAAGTTGAACGGCTCTTCTGGATCCAGCTCCTCCTCTTCCTCCTCCACACCGTCATTCTCTATTTTCAGAGTTGGTACGTCCTGATCATAGCATGTGCAGCTGCTCGACCCAGGCAAACGGCCCTAGAAACCTTGCATGCGCGTGATGAGCTGCGCAACATCGAGGGTCCTTGTCTCCAAGTTCCTCGACGAAGGGGTCTTTTATGCCCGAGTTTCTGCCACATAGCCCCACGTGAATCATCGCTCGATCTTCTGCCATATTCTCCAGCTTCAGTTTGGGGAAGATCTGACAAGCGGCGACACTACATCAACATGAATCCGAGACATGCGACGCAGAAGCATTAGTCTCACGGTTAAGCAGTCACGGTTCGATGCTTCGGTGGCCCAAACTCCTCAAGCTTCTCTGGTCTCGCGAAAGAGAACATCTGAAAGTCTGAGTGAGCCAATGCATGTCGTGGACATATCTGGTTCCGAGCTGTTTTTAAAATCTTGTCCGGATTCCGGTAGTTTGTGTCTGCATTGTCTAGAGCTTCACAGGCATACAGCATTGAAACATGTCGGGAGGATACCAGAGACTGTACCGGGCATGGCTGGGGAAAATTGGGGAAACATGCCAACGGACTCTAGACCTGACTTTGAATTCGGAATTGGCACCGACCGCGGCACCGCAGTGGCGGTCGTTGCCCACAAAATTCGTGGCAAACCTCGAAACGCGGCAAACCATCCCACCTTCCAGTTGACCACCACCCTCGCCGCGGAGCTGTTGCCCACTTTGAACCGTCTCATCAGCTGCTTCTCTGCCGGGACTGTCACACCGCACAGCAGCCTTCGAAGGTGCACGGAAGGCTTTCGCAAGGGCCAAAGAGAAATCCGGATTGTCGGCTTCAGGGGACCGGGGCCTGGGAGGAGATGCCAAGGTGTTCAGGCCCACTTGCTGATCCGGAAGATACAGGGGATTCCCGTACCTTAGCAGCTAAGCTTGGAAGGCTCTGCTTCAGAGAGAGGTCCATCAGATGTCCAAGCCGCGACTTCAAGCGTAGTGGTATGCGGAAGTTCTCTCCCTCCGAGTGCCCCGGAAGCTCTCGAAGCGTGAGAATCAGCTCCTTTGTCGGTTGGGTTCTTCTTGACGCTGCAAAGCACTGGCGGTTGACTTGCCCTGTTGTTTCCCGCCCTTGGGCCTCACGATACATTACAGGAAACCCCATGGTTCAGCCTGGCATCGTCTTCCATGAGGCCGGGCAGATCACTGAAGGACGTCACAGTGATCACCGCCGTGCTGAAAGGCTGCAGCCAGTCGCTGGCTGGTGCTGCCTTCACCGCCTGGAAGGGATGTCGCGAGGATTTCCCACAAACACAACAAACCTTCGATCTGTGCCAAGAAACGAAGCCACGGCCGGCACGGAGCGCCATCTGGAAGGATTCGAGCGAGACAGAGCAGCCCTCTTCTAGTGCTGAGAGGCGATGTTAGGCCGCGGCTCGGCCCTGCTCTTTCATCTCCTTCTGCTTCGCGAAATCCGCCCCGAAGCTGCTGCGGAAGGCCTCCGCGGAGCGCGTGGGACGCGTTGGACGAGCGACCGCGAAGAAGAGGCGAGCGAAAGCGCCTGGCCTGGCGCTCGTGCTTGTCGTCCAGAATCCACCTCTTCTCAGGCTCTCTCTGCAAAAGAGGCCCCCCCCGATGTCTGAGCTCATCTTGTCGCCTCTTCTTCTTGGTGCTCGTCTTCTTTGTCTTGTTCAACGTACTCCTGCTGACTCGAGGTCCAGAACCCGTTCTTTGCAACACAGTTGTGCGACCGAGGCTCTTGAACTTCTTCGTTTTGATCCTTCTGCGGCAATGCACATGCCAGAAAGTGCCATGAAACACGGCGGCATCGAGCCTCGGGTCGCTGTCATCGCGGCCGGCACCAGCAGGCTGCGGAGTGTTCTCAAAGCTCTGCTTCACAGTCTCCCCTGACGGCACACGACCCATGTGCCACATTACGAACATTACAGCTCAGCTCTGCATAGCGCTGCCAGATCCGGTCCCTGGCCTAGGTTTTCAGGCTCCGCTCCACCTCCGGCATTCAGCTTTGCAGCAGAGGCACAGCGTGTCGCAGCATGGCATGTTCGGTTCTCTCCTGCCTGATTGGTTGATCAGCGCGTACATTCGAGTTGCTGCGTCGAGGTAGTCGCCTATCTTCCGGCCCTTCACCAAGGGATCGAAGGCCGGATTCTTGTCGACTTTCACACCTTACATCCAAAAAACAGGGCGCAAAAGAAACTACTAAGCTGCTGCGAGCAGTACATGTGTGGCATTGCGTGGTTGCTTCGCGATGTATTACGAGGCGCTGTAAGGTGTCGCGATGCCCGTCCTGTTGTACAGCACCACCTGCATGACTTTGGCCCTTTGGAGTGGCAGCTCACCAAAGTCCACCGCTGGCATTCGTCTCGAAGCTTTCCCGCTGGTGATCATATACGTGCCACGTGGATCGCATGGTGAATCGCCAGGCTGTCGTGGTTTGAGCTCTATTTCAGGAGGCAACTCTCCAGCTGAAACGACGGCATAGTCCACTTCGCAGCCATAGACAACGGCAGTCACACGCAGCCTGCGGGTAAGCAGAGCCAGCGAAGCATACGCATGCAGTGGATGAAAGGAGCGACCAAGCCACTCTAAAGGCTGAAGGATTTCTTCGATGAAGAGATGGCATGGCAGAACGGCGTGACCTCAAAGCAAACAGGCAGTCCTTGAGCACGGCTCAGACTGGGGCAACACCGAGTTTCTCACCATCATCTGGGATCTTCGTAGGCACTGCAATGATCGTGCATCTCCGGCTCTCTCTAGGTGGTATGGAGCCCTGGCACCGTGTGTGAGTCATAGGTGAGACACTGTGCTGCCTGATGCATCGAGCCTGCGACGGATGGATTTGAGCCTCCAAGCCTGAACACTCAGGCTTGCACTCCTTAAACTCGTCCTGCCATGGAGTTGGCAACCTGAACACTAGCTGCTGCTTGGCGGCAGCCATCCATCTTTACAGGGACCTTCCATGAGAAGTTGGCCGGCATTTCCGACTCGTTGCGAAGCTCCACCTCCATGGGTTCGGATGCTGTCCTGCACAAACCAGGTATACGCAGAGAGCCAAGGCTTTCTTGCGGCGTTGTGTCAAACACTGAATGCACTCCTGAGGTAAGTCACAGGGAAATGAGCCTTGGACAGAGGTGGTGCCATAAGAATCGAGAGTCTTCGTCTTCACGGATGCATAATGCCATGCGTAACGGCCGGCAATGCTGACAAGACGCATGATGCGTGTTGATACGCACCAGCCTAAAGGCGGCGAATTAGGCGACAAACTCACCCAAGTCTCACATGCTTCACTGGATCTGGAAATGCTGAGGCCGAGCACGGCAGCTGTACAGATGCAAATACGTCAAGACACTGGGCATGCAAAGAATTGAAGCCAACAGCCTTAGCTTCGTTGCCCCACCCTGCATCACCCAGCCACTGCCTAACACTCCAAAAAGAAAGAAGCTCTGTAACATACTTCCGGCCTCCAACAAAGCCGTGTATTTTCCGACGCTTCCTGTCCGAAGCGTAACTTCGACCTCCGGGGAGGGTGTGGGCTAAAGACACCCCAGTCGATGCCCTGCCGGCCTCGCCGCTTTTGCCTGGCCAAAGTGCCAAATACCCCGGATGGAAGACGAAGTCCTGCAGATGTCGGGCTTCTAGACTCCGCAGGATCCTTCATGACCCTTGGTCTCCCTTAGTCCTCTGAGTCTGGTACGAATCTGACAGCATCTAGATCATCACCATCGTCGGAGCTCCTGGCATGGTCACTGCGCAGAACCTGACTGCGAGGAGTCAAAGTAAGAATAAGAATGGGAGGATTTTTTGACGGAAAGGTTTTTTGCATGCTTTGGGCCGTCCTCGACTTTGCCCCGAACTTGCGGCGGCCGCTTTGGTCGAGGCAGCCACTGCGCGAATGGACCCAAGGCTGCACGGCCGCCTCGCGGTACTGCTCGGACTCAATGGCCGCATAGCCTTCCGCACTTCTCCGGTTCACAGCGTCCACGAAGAGATTCACAACTTCCCGGTGCGACTCCACGGGAAACTCGTGATTGCGCTTGGTGTCCTGTGAAGTTTGCAGCGAAACACGGCGAAGCTGAGTATATGTAGACTGTCGACTCTCCCCTTGATCACAACGTCAATTACTAATTACCACGACCGACCCCAAACGCCGGTCTCCTTCTCCGCAACAACTTCCCCACTACATATGCTTACATACTGAAAGATGATCCAACAATCAAAATCTTGCAAGAAGCTCTCGGCCTTGAACTGTCGGAGTTGCAGCATCATCGGAAGTTGCGTAGGATTGCTCAGCACCACTTTCAGTGTGTGCCTCGAATGGGCTCGAACAACGCCGAAGTCCAACATGGATGTGCTCCTCATTTCGGCTCGCGGGGCTCGAACAGCGGCTGAGACGCCAACCTGCCACCGTGTCTGTTGATACACAACGAGGATTACTTCTGGTTCTCTCTTCTCCCCCATACTGTGCCATGCTCACTCTATGGCCCACTATGGCTATGTGATAGGACCGTGCCTTGAGAGCTGGTGCTGCCGGCTCACTGCTCTTCGCATCCAGTGGCAGGTCAATGACGAGCTGTCCATCCAAGTCGCACTCATGCACAACTCGAAGGGTCACCCGAATCGTCACAGCACCGCCGGGTGGAATACGGCCCTCGTGTGGTTCAACTGCGCATGATGCCAAGGCTCCGTAGCCAGGCAGCTGTGATGCTCCCGGGATTCCTGGCTCTGGTGGCAGTGGCGGCCACGACTGGGCCAGCCGGGCTGCTTGCAGCCTCATCTCTTCAAGGACAGGGTTTGCATGCGGAATCGGCTGAGGCTCCTCAGGCTTCATGCCAACTTCGGGCACGGAGACAATCCAAAGCGGATCAATTTTATTGGCATCAGCTGCATGGAGAGTCGATGTCAAGCGAACTCTGAAGTACGATGAGTTCGAGCCAGAGTTGTAGACCTTGATCTCGCGCACGCTGGGAACAAAAGGAAGCACGTCCCCTGACAGAACGATCGCACGAGGCATTGCCGAAATTGTTGGCCCCACAGTCTGGCCCTGCAGGCAAACGGCTGTAATGACTCGGCTGACGGCGCAATCCTTCAGGGGTTGGGATGGTCGGGCATGTGCTGTGGGGAAGCACTTTATGTATTAAGCCAAGGCAAGGTGAGATGAAAGACTTCTTGACTTGAGGCGAAACCCCGAGCCTTTGGATCTGCTACCTTAACGTCCAGTGGGTCGGTGGAGCCGGTGCTCTTCAGCTTCTTGTCGAAGGGTTGACTGACAATGCCTCCGAAAAGGGGTAGATGCTTGGAGTACGCGTCATTCTCTGGCCGCATCTCATCCTGCAGCTCCACCAGCTGGTTGTAGTGCAGCAAACAGGCCATGCTGTCAGGCAAATCGCGTGCTACCAGATATGCGAAAACTGCGGACTGTGACCCCACAGGTCCGAATGCCTCGAAAGTAAAAGTGAAGGTACTTGTGGTAAACGGTTCAATGGTTACTGATGCCGGCTCCACCCTGAATGGACAGGCAGCTGTCAAGTGGCTGCCGGGCAGATGCACCCTCCAGTCGTGGATTTCATTAATCAACTTGTCGGTCAAGCGGTTGATGGAACCCACGGCTAGCCGAGCCAAGATCTGACGTGGTGGCTGGGCTAGAGCCCAGTCGACTCTCATCGGCATGAAACCACCGTTTGAAATCTGGATACACTGCTTGGTCTTGTGCCCAACCTGCGTACCAGGCCGCATCCAGTTCAGTTGCCACGGGACGAGTTGCCAAGCGCAGCTGCCCTCTTCGATTGCCGCGGGAGGCAACTCTTCGTGGAGGGTGGGCCATCTGCAAAGCTCCAGGCGGACAGCATCACACACAGCGACTAAGCTGAGTGGCGTCTTTACACCGTTGTCCCCTTCAACGAACAAGGGACACCTGTGATGTCCGACTTTGTCAGCTTCAAAACGCACGCGCAAGTCCGTGAAGGAGTTAGCGTCCAAGTAGAAGGAGGCCGGGGAGATACGAAATGAGCCGACAACAAGCGTCAAGTCGGTCCCAGGGTAGGATTCATAACCTGGGCTTGTGAAGGAATTTGATGTAAGTCCCCATAACAAGCAAACCATATTCATCTACTATTGGTAACTTAATACAAATGTATAATATCCCCTTATGACTACTGCCCATGTAGCTTTCGTATACTAAACTATACCCTCAAACCTTCCTCCTGTAATCACGACCCTGTTTCATACAACCTGTCAAGATCCGCTAATGAACCCTATGCCCAGTCTTGAAAGGTCACCAACTAGGATTTGATGTTGGCTTAGCTCTGCCCCGTTCTTTGGTGTGTTGCGTTACAGGGGTTCGGACAAAAAGGATTAATATGCCTAAATCCGCTTTTTTGCTGCCGGATTTCAACCCTAAACCCTCTAGCCCGAATGCTTAGAGTTTCTTAAAGATTATACAAGCTCCTCCAGAAGAGAACCCGGCAACAGTAGTCCTCTGGCGGCTCCTCCTCACTGACTATCAGGCGAAAGGCACCCTCGCCTCCAGAGTTTCGTATTCTGACCGGCTCCGTGATATTGTTTCCTTCAGGGCTGTCTCGGCCACACCCTGCTGCTCTTCGCGCTCTTCTTTTTTTATTATTAGGTACAATTGCTGTTATTGTTAGTCTTGCCATTATTATTACTGCCAGCGCTGTACTTGATTATTACGGCTGTGTATTATCATTGGTGTTGAGATTACTCTGATTGTGATTGCCATTCGTATCTACCAGGATCTACCAGGTCTACATACAATTTGGTGATAAGGCAAGCTTTGGCTCCACTCTGAGCCGGGGAGAGCTGTGCCTGCCAGCATGCATCCGCAATTGACAGGCTCGTCGATCTTCAGCTTTGGCTGATCTCTCCTGGCCAGTAGAGGCAGCTGGTAGTCCCCGATCTCTGTACAGACCATTAGAAACTCTGTCTCGTCATTGAGGGTGTTCGGCGCGAAAGACCTCGGAAGTTGAGCAAACAAGCCGCTTTCCCGCTAGGCCGTGGCAGCCTACGCATGGCTGAGCTCAAAGCACCGTGAGGTGGGCAGCCATCCCCGGCGCAACCACTGCCGCTAAAGGATCGAGCCCGACCAGCTCGGGCCTCTCGGCATTCAGCTCCTCGACCCACTCTAGATTGCGCAGGTCACGATACCCCTGACCGCACGCTTCCCGTGTCCTTGTCGTACCGGAGCTCCTTAACGGAAAACGCAGTGTTGTTGCAGGGGAGAACTCGCAAGCGTCGACTGATCCCAGTGGAGTTGCGGAAGTCCACCTGCCAGCACTCGCAAGTGCGCAAGGCAAGCGAAATACCAAAGAACCAAGCAGTCACTAGAGAAATCGTCAAAGGATGCTCTGAGAAAGGCCTGGATCTGATAAAGGCCGCCGATCTCATAATTTCGAAACAAGATCGATTCTGGCGTGAACCTACCGGCAACGACACAGATTTCCAAAACAGCTTCAAAAAAGATCAGCCATAATCTGAGCTCCGTGCCAAAAGGGGCAGGGCTCGCCCCTGTCCTTCCCTTGCCGATCTGCCAGAAATCGAGGATTCTTCAGGAAGTTGACCTCAGGATCCGTTGAACGTAAGCTAAGCATAGCAAAACTACAGTACAGGGCACTTCTGGGAAAACTGAAACCCTAAGCCCTAAACCCCTAAACCCTAAAACCTGCCTTCATCTGCATCCTCTTGACAATCTCCCGATTCTTGGCCTTCTGGTCGGCATTGAGTCCAGCTGGCTGGCGAGGTCTCTTCCGTAACCTCTCCTGCTTTAGGGGATCTATAGGGCTTAGGGCTTAGAGGGTTTAGAGTTTAGGGTTTAGGGTTTAGGGACGAAGTCTCCTGCACGAAGGGTTTATAGGGGCTTTTGTAAGGCTTAGGGCTTATAGGGTTTATAGGGCTTTTGTAGGGATTAGGGTTTGGGGTTTATAGGGCTTATAGGCTATAGGGTTTAGGGTGGCCCGGCAGCTACTCAACCAACTTCCCAGTTCTGATGGAAGTACGGAAGCAGAAGTGTCACAAGAGGAAGGCCTGCAAGTCAGCTGTGATCAGATTCTTCTGCTCTTCTGTGAGGGTGGCTTTAACCTGCGGGATGCCGGCGTGCGACCGTGCACTTGCTTGGGGAGCTGTCACTTCAGCTGTCCTGCTTGGTCTCTGCGCGCAGCTGGAGGGACCTCGTCATCTTGAAATGATTGGGCTCCTGGAAGCATCAAATGACCACAAGACACTGGCTCCTTTCTGTTCTGGCTGCTACTTCCACTTTTCCAAGAATCGCCCAGCTGCTACTATATAGACGAAAGTAAGAGTACCCCGTTACATCGTAAATCATTACCTACGAGTCGCTGGCCTCGGGCTTGGAGATCGCCAAGAGGTTGTCGTGCTGAGGGATCTGCCCTTTCTTGATCTCATAGAAGCGCTCCATGTCTTCCATCATGCGACGCCTCAGTCGCTTGGGAGAGAGAGCAACCCCGAGCCCTAAACCGTGTTGTGAGCTTTTTCGACTTTTCTGGGGCTCCCACGGTACGATGAGACCTTCCCTCACCATCTCATCAGGGTCGACTCTGTGCTTCAACTTGCCTGTGCTGGGCTGCCGTGGGCTGGAGCATTGATCGTGGTGCGATTGATGAAAGCTAACTCTGAGTGATGAGAACGAGCTGCTTTCCGGGACAGGCAACTGCTCGCACATTACCAGGCCCCAGCGCTGCAGCAGCTCTGCTGCTTCCTGAATCCATGCCATAAGGGCTCGGACGGCTCAGACTACGGAAGGACGGAAGCAGAGGCCGAGCATCGAGCATGGATTGCTATCCAAGAATCGTCCTGGTCGCCTTCCCGCGCTGCCTGCCTAATCGTGCGAAGCAGTTCCTGCACGCGATCCACGTGATCGCCATCAGCCAGGACTTTGTCCCCAATGGCCTTGATGTGTTCAGCTTCCTTCGCACCAGCTGAAGGTTTGTCGTCCAAGCTAGCATGGGGCGGTGTAGAGTCACGAGTTGGGCTGTCCTTGTTGAGATTGATCTCGGAATCTATGGCACTGGCGGATGTCTTTGCACCTTGGGTTCTCATAAGCTGGTGGGCTCCCTGGCATCGAGTTCGCTAGGTAGCCATGCGCATTTCCCCTTTGCTTGAAACACTGAGTCGTCCGAGCCCTGGAAGCACAGCCCAAACGCCTGCCCGCTCAAAGGTTCCTCCCTCTTTCTAATTATAAAGCTTGCGTTGTAGCATCTTTTTGCCTTTTCCAAACTGCAAGCATCAAGTCACCAAGTGCTGGAAACAGAGCTTAAGATATCCAGCTGGCTGATTTGTTTGCAACTTCTACGTCACTGGTGGGCTTGCTTCACATCTGAGGTTGACACCGGCGTCTGCCTCTTCCTCCTTATCCTCTGCTGGATCTGCTGAGGCAGTTGATGTTCCAGTGTAGAGCTCTTTGAAGACATCTTCGTAAACGAAACCAACCTCAGCACGAACCAACAACAGCCTAAGTGTCTCGTCACCTCAATGTTTAGTTATTTAGTTCCTATGGGTAGTACATATGCCCACGGCATGGCAAGACGCATAGCCCTTCGGGTGGTCGCGTGCAGTTGGCCGATCCTCCGGTTGTGGATCAGGTGACACATCGGCATCCGACATGGGGGTTCCCGCGGAATGCCGGTGAAAAAAAACTATCAACAGGGACGAACCCCTTGAGCCAAATGCGTTTATGAGCCCGATTTGGGCAGCCAGACTGTTGAACGACCCCCACAGAAGAAAAAAAAAAAGGAGTCCAACATGTAGGTCCTAGACTTGATCGCAGCTGTTTGAAACGGCCTATGCCATATGTCGGGAGAAGTGGACGGAGCTTGGTGACCCTTTGCTTCTGCTAGATAGTGCTCTCGTGGCTTTGTAAGTTCCACTACAGACTACAGGTATGCAGTCGTTGGCGATGCCAAAGCTACATTGACTTCGCGCTTCACGACTGCGCAGACTTTTTCCACACACCATCCCCGGTCAGCTGAGGCTTGAAGGGTGAAGTGACTCGAGGCACACTTCAGGCGGACCAGCAAGACGAAAGGCAACTTAGTTTGATCACAGGCTGGCACAGAGCCGAGGTCAATCTAGCTAAAGCTTTGCATGCATCCCTGCAGCCGAGGCACCGTTTCTCCCAGGTCAGGTTCCCATATCGAAGGGACTATGACATAGCTTCCCGGACCAGTGAGGCGAGTCTTCAGAGAAACTGATCTTCTCCGGCTCAGGAGGCTTGCAGCGCTGACCGCGTTGTGGCGCACAATCCGCTTCTTGTCGAAGACTGTTAATCGCTCGTCGGGATCGTTGAGCCACATGACACACACGAAAATCTGTCGCAACTTCTCCTCGAATGGAAAGGAAGAATAACGTGAGTCGGACAGCAGACGTGCGTCTTGCTGATGAAGGGTGACGCACAACTCGGCATCTCTATCCTGAAGGGTGATTCGACACTGCGGGTTCCGACCCCAACTTTCCGGTGTTGCAAGGACGGGCTGTATCACTGGAATTGGCGTACCACCACAGGTGTCGTGCTTCCATTGCCCCTGCAACCGCCGTGTCTGCCAGTCATCCTCATTAAGAAACGACTGTTGCAGGAGCACGTGGCTGAAGACTTGCAGCCAGTCTTGGAATCCCATGATGAAAGTTCCATCATGGAACTCGGCCGGATCACGGTTGAAGTGCTGCAAAGGCATCTGCGGGCGAGACGCGCCGCCAGCTCGGAGACCACAAGCTGGCAGAAACTCTGCGAAGTCTTCGATTTGCAGTTGCTCGGCGATTTCTCCAGCTTGACTCCATGCCGAGTCCTGGTCACTCCATGCTCCACACCAACGACCAGAAGTGAAAGATCTCAAGCGGGCCAGGTGCAAGCTTTCAGACTCTGACTCCACCTCGCGCAGTCTTAGCAAAGGGTATGGCCAGTTCCGGTGCACCCCAGTGCAGAAAGGGCCTGCTTCCTTCTTCTCAAGGTGTAGTAAACGTGGGTCAACTTGGACCATCTCCGACAGGTTGCTTCCCGAATCCGCCCGCAAGCAAAGCAACGAGGTCCCAGTGGTCATTTCCTGCAGAAGCAACTGCCAAAGTTCACCGGGATCCTTGTCCGCCGGCAGGACCTGTTCATCCACGGCTCCATCGGCATCCAACTTGGCTGCGAACTTTGAGGTTTGGATTTTTTCCGTTGGCCAAGAGGTCAAATCCTCTAAAGCATCGTCCACAAAACCCAGTGACAGCGCAAAATAGGAGCCATGAAGCTTTGCATAAGCCTTCTCTATCAATGCGGCCCAGATCTGTGGCACCTTATCCAAGCCATGGGTTCGGCTGAAGAGTGGCTCCTTCTGTCGAAACGGAAGCCGGTCGTCGACGAGGACGTAAAACCAGGAGCCATGCTTCGAGAAGCGGAAGCAGTAGATGCCACGCCTTCGAAACTCGGGGTCCCAGAAAAGCCGGGGGTAGACGCCCAAAGGCTCCTGGTGCCCAGACGGGTCTCCAAACAGCGCGTGCTCTCGCAAGGACAAGGAGCAAAGTGCCCCCAGAAACCATGCGTCGCCAAAGCTACCCAGCTTCACCTCGGCCAGCTCGCCACAAAAGGAATGGGATTCCCAAACCTCATTGGGCCTCGACCACACCACGTCCCTGAAAGATGGAGCCGAGCTTGGCAAGGCGGCGGCATCGTGCACTCCAGGTCCGAAGTTAGGATCCGCGTACAAAGTCTCGGAAAGCCCATCCTTTAACCTCTCCATTTCTTTCAGTGCCTCCTTCATGGACGTGAAAATGCCCGACCCTGTCTTCACTTGAAGACCCTGGCCCCCTCCACCTTCATCAGGCAGTAAATCCGCAGCTGCCTGTGGCAACTCCTCATAGGCCTTTGTTAGGGAATCTCGCGGTTGCTCCGGCAGCGACAGTCGACCTCGGCCTTGAAGCGACGGAGTTAAAGTGGAGGCCGAAGCCGCGGCGGCCGGAGCCGCAGGAGCCGCAGGAGCCGCAGCTCGCTTGGGCTTAGGCTGGGACTGTGCCCGTCCCCGGGAGGAGGTTCCCAAACTTGCCGGTGTGGCCTTGGCTTTGGCCGCCTCGCGTTCGGCCCGCGCCTCGGCTCGTACCCCTGCCCTCACTTCAGCGGAGAGGGGTCGGCCAAGAGCGCGGCTGGGGCCTGTTGTATGAGACGACGGACTGCTTCCCTGAACCACCTGTCCTCGCTGAGGATGCGCCTCAGGCGCTGCCTGAGACTTCAACTCCTCCGTTCGTGGTACCGGACCGGATGGATCCGTCGGCCTTTGTGCTGGCTCAGCTTGCTCTGCTGGCTCTTCTTTTGCTAATGCTCCTCTGGACCAAGTGCCACTGGCGCTGGCCTGGGTTACAACAGGTCTTGGCTCGGACTCACCGCGGCGCTTACCACCATCCTGCACATAGTTCTGGAGGAGTGCACGCAAAAAGTTCTTGAAGTGAGACAAAGCCATCTGATGCATATCAGGATCACAGTGCTCCGTCCAGACGCTGTAGAGCTCGGTTGATGAAACCGACCGGCCCGCAGACTCGAGTATGCCCTGAACCATGGGGGCGACCTTGCGCAGCGTCACGACGCCCTGATCCGAGTGGTTGCTGAACGTGCGTTCGCACAGAAAATCAAACATTGGCTCATCTTGGAGGAGGCGCTGGATCTCTGAAGCCAATGGACCCCCGCAGTCCATGAAGAAACCCTGGAACGCGGGCTCGGCAAAGGGCCTGTGTCATGCTGGCAATTTTGGACCAGAGAGCTTTTTGCAGAAAATGCTGAGCAGTACATCCAACTCCAAGCCTTTAACTGATCCCAAACCCTCCTGAATGAAGAAACCACTTTCAAACTCGTTCTGAAACCACCAAGTCAAAATCCAATACGAGCCGTGGTTTGTAAAAGGGGGGCTTGCTTGCTTGGCGGAGTGTTAATTAAGATTCAGGGCACCAGCCGTTTCTGAAGAGCCGTGCGGGATTGAAGGCAGAATCTTGGACATCGTGGTCTTTTCGACGCCAGGTGGCAGCTATCCTTGTGTGCTGCACCTCTTGCACGGCAGGTTGCGAGCCAATAATCTGTGCACCGCTCTTTCTGCAAACGACGGCACGACTACGCTCGAATCGAAGGGTTTGCACCACTTCGCGGGCACCCTTCCGATCACAGCATCTTCACACCGCGGCCGTGATGCATGCTATTGTGCGTCCGCTGCCAACAAATAGTCTAGGAACACTACGTTTAGGCCGCGGCGCGATCCGTCGTCTTGATGTGACCATCTTGTGTCGCAGAACATTCAATCCTTATCTTGAGCGGTTCGACAGAAAACCATCTTTAATCATTGCGGTCATGATACCTTTGCTACATTTGGTCGAGTAGCAAGCTCACCAAATAGCGGACTTTCAAGTGAATACCGATAACCTCAGACCCACAGCACTCGATGCTGGGACAAGCTTGGATTTTGGCTGGGCTATTGGACACCATGCCCTTGACATGCTTTCAGTGGCAAGTTGCATCTCCCTTGGTGACAGGCCCGCGAAGACTCATCAGACCGGTGACGAGCCTTAACACGAAAGGGAGGTCGGGGAAGGCTCAAGCTGCCGCATGGCGCATGCTGCCGCGGGGCTCGTCCACGCTTAACTCTCCACCTCCATCGGCGTCCAGCACATCAAAGAGACTAACCCTGCCAGACGCATCAATGCTCGCCTGCATGCGACAGTGTACAAATGTCGACAGCAGCCGAAGTTGGTTCCAGTGATGCGAGGCCGCCGCGACCCGGCCTCATCCAGCACGTGAACGAAGTTTTCGTCCTCGAGCCAGGAGGCAAACTCCTCCCGCGAGATGTTCCGGCCTCCAGCCTCAGAGCATCTCAAAGCACTCATGGCAAAGTCGGCAGCAAGAAAAGAATCAGGACGGGCTGCCTGCAATACCCAGTCCATCCCTTCTGGTCGTGTCTTCAAATCAGCGGATTCCTGGTAACTTTTCCTCCGCAAGCCAAGCTTGCGAATGATGCGGTCCTTGCCACAAGGCGCCATGTATGATGCATGTGTGCTGCTTCCCGCTTGCTGCCTTAACTTCGCGAGGGAACCAGGGCAGTTTCTGCTCAACGCTTTCCTTGATGTTCAGCTCCATCTGAAGAGCCGTTTCGGAGATCTCGTTCTGTTTCCGAGTGAACTGTGAGCTCATGACGTTCCTGAGGTCACCCAGGAAACATCACATCACTCTGTCATGGACTGGAGTCTTAGTCACTTCCCCGGCGGGCATGATATCGAACTGAGATGCTCGATGAAGACGGCCATAATCAAGTTAAAGACGCCCACCGTAATCAGCATGATGATGAATATGTACCCAATCTTATCAGGTTCTCAGGCCAACATTCCCCTCTGCGTAGGGCTCTCAAGTCACGGCTCAGGCACGCACCATGAAGACAGGACCATACTCAGCACGCAATCTTTCAGAGAGAGGTGTCCCATCAAGCGCTGTGCATCCATCTGTGAAGCATCTGAAGCCTTAGCAGCATTAAGCGATGCAGTGGCCGCTGCAAACAAAACTCTCCGAGAGCAGAGATTCTGGGAAGCACGTGGGCGCTTTGACATGGCATGCCCAGCCGGCCACATCGCGACATGCTCTTCGGGCACTGGGGACTGGACAAGTGAACATGGAAGCCAAGACTGTTCTGAACTCCTGCACAGGACTCTTTGCGGCAAGGTCCTACACACGAAGGCGACATCCGACAGCCTGTTGCTCGGGATCATCGCCGAGAAAGCTGCCTTGGAAACCCAAACAAGAGCAGCACATGCCACAGCCATCGATATGGCGAGTCGTGCTTCTTGCAGTCCAGCTGCGCAACACAACCCCGATGGCATAAATCACGGCGATGAGCAACACTATCGCCCAACCGATCACGCGCAGACCAGAAAATACGCCCAGCACAATCCTGAGACAACAGGCAGCACGTTTGTCTGCATGCCGCTTGTATGCACTCGTTCTGCTTGCCGAGGCACAACTTCAATTCTTTGAACGCCTTGAATCGCAACGCCCGAATCAACCGTGCGAGGCGTGCCAAACGAAATATCTTCACCAGGGCCAAATTGGAGAAGGCCTGCGCCCAACAGAGTTCGCAGACTTCACATGCACTGCAGCATCTGCCTCCGGGGCTTCAGCGCCGACGCGCCCTTCCAACGCAAGCACCGTGGTGAGAGTCAAATCCACCTCAGTATGTGCATGAAAAGCATTCCTGCTGCATTGCAACGTGTATGGCCATGCTGGCCATCTCTGTAGTGTCGTGTGTCCGCTTTCACCAAGCCATCCAAACATTCACCATTATCAAATCAAGTCGCATACATCATCGCCAAGCAAAGCCAATCAAAATAGTTCCACATGCGCTCTGGCCCGCACCAATACCAATGGCATCCATAAGTTCGGACCTAATTGAATCAAAGGCACGGTTGGAGTGCACAAGAGGAGCATAAGTTGCAGATCTTCCGGCCTTGACGACAAACTCCAGTGAATAGAAAACTACCTGACAAGTTACAACAAGAGTAGCGCACGAGAAACCACAGTTATAAATGTAGGGGCCTACTTGGCTATTTCACTTGCACGGAACCGGCAGTTCGTCATCACTATTGAACGCTTTGGCCCAGCTTGGCGTCCACCCTGCGAGACAATGCAACACAACCACCATCTAACTGCTTGCCAGGGTTTCGGGACTGTTTAGGGTTTACGGTCGCTGGAACAATGAGTAGTCCTTTGGTTTTTTTGACAGAGCTCGCAGCCCAGAGCCCGCCCAGACCATCGGCAAATGCTTGTTTTTTCTAATTACCTGTCGGATGGTTGAGGAGGGAATAACTCCTGATCGGCCAACACGTGCCTTCGTCTGTGGCATGCTGGTGGTGGACGAACATTTTTTCGGGGGCACGCAAGCGTTTGTGGCTTATGGCGGCAGTCGAGCGGGCAGCTGGAAGCTACGTGTGGTCGGATTGCTGACGACCACTGAATCCATCTGAATCCTATGCGGGCAACGCCACTTTGCTCCGCCCTGATCTTTGCGACAGGTGTTTAGGTGCATGTTTTTGCCATTCCACCAAAGCGCAGTGGCGGGTTGCAAACAGCATGTGCTGTGTCAATTAACTGGCCAAGGCGCGAACAAGTATTCTAAAATCTGCCAAACAATGTGCCCACCTCAGATTCCACAGTTCACTGCTATGAGTGATTATGAATGTCTAAACATTCTTGCCGTCATCTGTTGCAGCCAGAAATGTTGAGTCACAAAGCTGCTAAGCCACGATGGAAATCGAGACTGATCCCTATGGCCAAAACGTTCAGGATGATAACCACGGCGGGCAAAAAATTGAACCAGGCCGCGACGCAATCCAACCTGCGTGGACAAAGTGTGCGTTACATGATGCGGCTACGTGACATGTCAATCAAAGTCAGTATTTCTTTCAGAGGCCGGAGCTTCATGTCTTGCGCCGATTCCATGGATCTGGTGGTTCCAATTGGCAAACCCTCCGAAACTTCGCCTCCAGGTTCAGGGCCTCAGCTCAGGTGCTGCGATGCTCCTACTGTTTCGCCTAGGATACCAGACCACAGCACGATGTCCACATTCTTCTAATAAACTTGTTGCGAGCAAGATGCTGTCCAAAGATAAGTCATGCATGCGGCATGCATCGTCTGTGGACATGTCGAATTCTGCCACGACCTTACAGTACAGTTTCTCGGGTATAAAGTCGCGAAATGGTACATTGGTGCTGTAATTGGTTCGTCCCAGGACGGTGGTACAACGATTCTTCACTCAACGCAGTCGTCGGTTTCAGATATTTGACGAGGCTTTATGATGATGGGCAGAAGTGACAGAACGAACGACCAGCACATCGGCATCAGGGATGCTTTCGACACCGACTTTTCTTAACCTGGCAGTCCCCGCGGTCTCATTCGCTATCGTTGGCTCTTCTTTTATGGTTGCAAATACTGTAAATTGCAGCACTTGCTACTGCTTTGCATCAAGCTACTGGGGAATTGCAATTAGCTATTGCGGGATTCCGATTTCGAGGCTCCTGTCTTGTTTCCGGCTATTCAGGACTTCCAATTGGTAGGGTATTGTTTTGCCCCAAGCTATTCGGGTGGTGCAATTTCGAGGCTCCTGTTTTGCATCGAGGTATGGAGGACGTCCAACGATGCTCCATGCGAACGGCGTATCCGCTGACAGCGTGTCGGAAAGCGTTTCGGCCGCGGAAGCATTGCTGGTGTCGCCACCGCCCACGATAGCGCATCCGCCGTGTGGTTCGCGCGTCTGGCCGCCCGATCCGAGCAACTGCGTTTGAGCCAAAGCATGCAGAGCCGTGTGACGACGCTGCGCAAGGTCGGCTTTTGCGCGATCGCTGTCGCCCACGGTAGTGTCGCCCCTTCTGTCCCAGTGCGCATGTGCATTCCTGGCTATAAAAACGGGGTGACGCATCCAAAAAATTGACCCTTAGCCCTAACACCTTCTAATTGCCAGGTCTATGAGCTCTAGTTGCACCAGGGCCGCGCGGATGGTCGCAAAAAAAGGAGTGTGGAAAAAAAATTGATAAGCTTTTTTTTTGAACGGACTTTTCGAACTGCCTGAGTGCGAGCCCCCGTCGCAGCTGTCCGTGCTACCTGGAC